TCAACTTGATATCGATATCATCTCGTTATATCACGTGATATAGAGCGTAATGAGAACGAGGTATTGGCGTTGACGGCGACTCTGTAGCTCTTTACTCCTATGAGAAAATCCATAAGCAAACGTCAGACTGTGCGTGACACATGGCGGACTTTGTACTATCCTTTCACTCCACCGTAAATTCCCATAAGAAACTGTCTACATTTGCTGGAAGAGCAAATTTTTCGACAGTGCCGTCAACGCCAATAAGATCATTTATTTTTCATGGTTGCCAAAACAACTTTTCGTGCCTCCGCTTATCTATGGAATCTATAGCACAGACAAACAGACAACACTCACAAGTTGTTCATCGCACAAGCATTTAACGGTCAATTTAAAAGTATTATAGTTGTTAGTATACCGCCACCTGTGGCACGCAAAGTCAATTCCCTTGCGTTTGATGTTTTCACACTACTGCCATCTTTTCAGCGTACTACCCACCACAGTGTACTCAACAGATGGCGGTAATGTTTTAGCGACGATGTTTTACAGTGACAAATATTCAATGTGTTATGTCTGTTTGTCTGTGTCTATCGTGTCTATAGTATCTATTCTTAGAACCATAGCAAGTGTTGTATAACATTAAGTCATTTGTATTGAATAAATCGCACCGATATTCTATGATATTTCTATAAAAACTATATGCTGGATTACAATTGAATAGAGTTGTTCATAAATGTTTGTATGAATAATTTGATTTGATTGGAATCCACAAATAAGAGTCAAAGCCCAAAATCCATGCCATGAAAGTACTACAGCTGAACTTACCGCATAAATATGGTTAAAAACACCATTTTCGATAATTACAGTAGAATTAACTACAATTTCGTTTAAAACAAAAGTAATTTATAATATTGTTGGTTTAATCGCTTTTGTAATTATTTTAACCAAAAAAAAAATAGTTCACCGTACTATGTTGACGTTTTCGAAGCAGCATGGTAAAATCAATAACAGCAGTATTTATTTCAAATACATACAACATTCGTTCTACTGAAATTTATACCCCGTACAGACTATGGCTTATATCATGTAATATAGGCTGTCTTGCAATGAGCACTCATACATAGGATTTCCAGTGAAAACTAAATGCATGAGTGCTCATTGCAAGACAGCCTATATTACATGATATAAGCCATAGTCTGTACGGGGTATTAGTGGTATTTTGTTTTCATTTTTAACCTACGAAATAGAACGGGTTACCATGGGTCTGTATTCAGTGTATGCATTGTAAGTATATTTCGATTTTATACTATAGCACGCATATAAACCATTTTTATACTAAAGGCCCAAACGCAATGTGGGCGGAAGCGGAACGGAAACGGAAAGTTTGACACAAATGACATCAAGGTGTCTAACCGAAGTTGATTTGGTTCTAACTAGTTTTCAATCCGACAAGTAGGCTTACTCAGATCGGGCTTTTCCGCTGTCGCTGCCGTTCCGCATCCGCTGTCATTGCGCTTGAGCCTTAAGTTTAAGTTGAAAAACGACATTGCAATCACCCCCTGCATAGGCACATAATTTAGAACGCCGCATCGTGGTACGATTTCAAATGATTTTTGTACATTGCTTTGCTACCAGTAACAAACATTTGGCAGCCAGGAATGCCGCACTTGCGGCACTGAATGCTTGAATAATTATAATCTGGAAGACGAAGTTGTAAGCTCTTCCCATAAACAAATAACGAATTAGTTAACAAATGTCTTAGCTAAAAGTTACGCTAAATTGCAACTCTCCGTACCGACGCAAAGGTCGGTATAAAGGGAGAGAAGGCAAACTTAGTATAAAAATGTATGCTTACAATGCATATATACGGTTTATTCGAGAGAATGTATTTTTTGCTTCTTTATTTTATTTATGGTAAATATTATTGTTTTCAAATAAAAATTAAAATTGTCTCAGGAAGGTTTATTGATTATTTTATTTTTTAAGAATATTATTTATAAAATACGTACAATTGTGATGTTCCTTAGATGAACTCGTGCTCACGCAGTCTAGCTGCCTAGCTGATCACATGGCAATAGAAATTCGCCGGGAAGAAGCTCTTCACCAGCACGAAGCTTCGAAGAGAATCCCGAGGGGGACGACTCTATCTACGATGCAAAAAAGATTGTGTTTTGCTGTGGCTAGCTGCACGCACGCTGAGTAGATAGAAGGAAGATTTATGTCGATTTTGAAGATTTCCTGCAAAAAGATGAAGCGCGATGCAAGTAGATGCGAGAAATGAAAGATGATTTTTCGAAGATTGATTCGCTAGTGTGAGATTTTTTGAGCATCTAGAATTGAGATTTAGATGTGTCGCCCCCCTCGGAGAATCCAGATGTTCTTTTTTCCGAGCTTTTTCCTATCATTTTAATAAACACTGATCAAATTCCACTCTGTTATTCGGACTTAGTATAATTTTGACAAAAATTTTAATCGGACCAATTTTTGTAAAAATCATAAAATGCATAAAATTTAATCAATATTTGTTTTGTAATGTTTTTGAGTGTAATGAAATTATTTGCAAGTATTTTAAAGGTTTTCATAGAGATGGCTGACGTTTATCGTACGCACACAACGTCACGTATACGTATACGCAAAATGTTTCCATCGGAAAAAAAAAACTTCATAGCGGAAAATTTTCCCGATGAAAACAAATCACTGACACAATCATACTTTAGCAATCTTTATGGGTTCTACACACGCTATAGGATGCTGCACGCTGACGTCACGAATGAACGCGATGAACTCACGCATCCAGTGGTGGTTTGTTTACCTTTGCTTGTTAGTCGATTCAAGTGGATTTAAGGTTTTAAATAAAAATAACTAAAAGATATGATATCCGACTTTGTTCGTTTGAAAAATATTCCAATATATAGATTGTTAGAAACAATCTAAAATAACATTTAAAACATGTTTTTATTTTTTTTTTCTAAGTCCATGTAAACAAACCACTGCCAGATGTCAAAAAAGTGAGGTTAACTCGACGGTGCAGCACCCTATCGGAGTCATTTCGATGTTCTTCATTTGTCAACTTATCACTTCAAACACAGTTCTTTTCACTCATCTCGGCACTATAGTGCAGGAACCCAAAAGTAGGTAAAGCGAACCAAAGTAGTTTTCATTTACTTGTGTGCAATTTGAATTGAAATTTTCACTCGCTTTCTACCCAATAGTAAGTTAGTTGTACCCAAAAGTAGGTAAACATGATTATACTCAACGTTGAATTCCCACACTTTACTACCCTTGTTGGGTGGTTTTGCTCCTCCGTTTTTGACAACATTAGAAGGCGAAAAGGAGACAAACTAATCGAAAGGAGGTAAAAGTGAACTGGCCGTTGGGAACTTTTTTCTAACCGTGTAGGTTCAGTTTTGACAGTTTTTGAAGTTTTGAAATAGCGTGCATAATCTTTCTATAAAAATGGGTAATGTCTACCCAGTTAATAAATGTTAAAATCTGGGCAAACTTCACCCAGATTTCTTCGCAAGCACGTTTACCCAAATTTGGGGAAATACTGGTTTACCAAAATTTGGATACACTGATAAATTAAACTATTCCCATTTTGCTTGAAATGTAATCAATTTGACATAGAACTCAGCTTAATTATATCGAATGATTAAAAATTAATGCTCTCTTTCTAAAAAATAAGCATCTGATATTAACCCCAGTTTAATCATGGATGATTAGATTGAAGATGATCTTTCATGAATAAATTTTAATAATTTTTGATTCTATTTTAATATTTTTTGATTGAATTTTCTTTTTTGATGATATATTAGTATTAGATTGAAGATGATCTTTCATGAATAAATTTTAATAATTTTTGATTTTATTTTAATATTTTTTGATTGAATTTTCTTTTTTGATGATATATTAGTTTAATACTGGAAAGATTATTTCGAATATATTCATGCATGACTACTGCCGAAGTAATCATGGCTCGGACTCAATACACAGCAAAAAATGTAATATCGATCAATGTAATTCAAGCTGATGTATGAAATCAGTGCTTACATTTGAAAACGGCACAAAAGCCATTTGTAAACAAATGGTTTGTGGGCCCTTTACTCACTACTTGAAGTACACCCACGCGACACAACAGCAACATCGGGTAGGGAAAATTTTCCCCTTCCTGACGATGCTGTTGGTTTGGGTGGGCGTTCTTCGGGTAGCGAGTAAAGGGCCCACAAACCATTTGTTTACAAATGGCTTTTGCGCCGTTTTCAAATGTTAGCACTGAAATAATGATGTAATAGCAAAAAGCAGATACAATATTACATCAATGGATGTAATTTTGTTCGCAAAATCGATGTACATCGTACAACGTTATATTACACAACCGATGGATTGACCTCGGGATTGACCTGGTTGCAGCAGTTTGGATGTAATACCCTAATAAAAATGGTATGGTTAATTTGCTTAACGACGTGTTCTGGGTATCATCCAAACCATTTGTGGAATAGTTCAACGATTTAGGCTATCGTTTGATAATGGTTATTTTTTATTAGGGTATTCAACAACTTTTTTTTTCTGTGTAAGCTGAAGCGGGAATCTGCATACTTTTTAAGCTCTTTTGATTTAATTTATCTTTGAGTGTAGGTTCTGTTTTGACCGAACTGGGTAGAGTTCACCCATGTTTGGTTTTTTTCATAATAGCGTGTTGGCACTATTCCAAAACTACCCACATTTGGGTAGAATCCACCCAGATCAGTCAAATCTGAACCTACCCAAAATTGGGTAAACTGTGTTTGAAGGGATAAGTTGACAAATGAAGAACATCGACATGAATCCGATCGACGTTGTTCATTTGTCAACTTATCCCTTCAAACACAGTTTACCCAATTTTGGGTAGGTTCAGTTTTGACCGTTTTGACCGATCTGGGTGGATTCTACCCAAATGTGGAAAGTTTTGAAATAGCGTGTACGGCTGTACTTGGATGCGGTCGAATCAACAAACGTCAATCAGTGTTTTGCGATTTTCGTTTTGTGAAAGGTAAATAAGTAGAGTGAAAATGGCGTCTTTGGAACCGCTTCAGAATAAAACTTGGGATTTATCCTTGTACGAGCTGCATCGTACGCCACAGGATGCTATTACGGATAATACGGAGATTGCTGTTTCACCCCGTAGCTTGCACAGTGAGTTGATGTGTCCCATATGCTTGGATATGCTGAAGAAAACGATGACAACAAAGGAGTGTTTGCATCGTTTCTGTTCCGACTGCATCATCACAGCTCTCAGGTCTGGTAATAAGGAATGCCCTACTTGCCGAAAAAAACTCGTTTCAAAACGTTCATTACGTCCTGATCCCAACTTTGATCTTCTGATATCAAAAATCTATCCCAGTAGGGATGAGTATGAGGCGCACCAGGAGAGAGTTTTGGCCAAGTTCAATCAAAGTCATTCACAACAAGCACTTGTGCATTCTATTAACGAGGGCATTAAATTGCAGTCACAAAATAGACCAAATCGTAAGCAGAAAAGTGAAAATGATTTGACCGCAGTTGCAGCAGCAGCAACAAACGCGTCTACACCTGCAGCTTCCTCGTCTGTGAATCCCACACCAAACGTTACAAATAGTAACGGGAATGTTGCGGTTGCGGTCGCAGTCGCGGTTGCGGACACTATAAATCGCGAAGGATCTTCCAATAGCCAAGCCGGGGAATCTGTGCCTCAGTCTTCGAATCCTCCATCGGTGAGAAGTACACCATCGCCGGTGCCTTCAAATGTAAGTTCGGCGAGCAAAGCCAAGCGCGCCCGGTCGGTTCTCACTTCTGAAAAGTCAGAGGAATCTGAAAGCAACAGCGAGATGGATGGAAGAACTGAGGAAAATGATTCCAATTTGGACACCGAGGGAGAAGGCAATTCCGAGCATGGTAGTGACGAAATTGAACTCGTATTTAAGCCACATCCAACTGAAATGGCTGGAGACAATCCGTTGTTGAAGGCGCTCAAGGAAAACTCGGTCCGCTATATCAAAACCACTTCGAATGCTACAGGTAATTCTTCTGGGCAAACGGAAAGATTGAAATTTCCCTTCTCGATATGGGATTTTATGCGCTAGGGACTATATTCTGGCAAACGATCTAATTTCAAGCTTTTTTGTAAAGTGATTACATTTTGCTGTCAAAATATCTAGGATGAATGTTTATATATGTAACAGAATTAGGTAGTAGTTTATACAAAATTATGCGAAACAATTTTTCTATGTCTATGACTCAAACCTTTCCATGGACATGTTTATTAAAGGTGCTTAAAACTCAAGCTACCGTATTTGTTCCCTGTGTATTACATACTAAGTAAAAGTATTTTATCCGGAACGTCTCGATAAACAATTAGGTTTTGCACCGTCGGGGTTAACCTCAATCTGAAGACAGTTCAGTGGTACTATTTACGTGGACTACTTAGTTGATTTTTTCTTGGGTAGATTTTCTCGATAATTCAGTACCAATATTTCAAAAGGGCGAAACTGACAAATGTAAACAAACTGAGAAATAGTATGAACAATTTCATAAAATTTCACAAAAAACATGTTCAGTGTATAGGCTGTGTCAACGGCTAAGTTGGCTTATCTAGGGACTAACCCCCCTAGTCTATACACCTACTGTCCTTCCCGTTGTACTCGTCAGCTCGTGCGATACTCTAGACACACATGGGTGGTCGTATCCGGGTCCTTCCCTGGGTAGGCTCGTGTTCGTCCATGTTCTGGTACATTAACAAACAACTCTATACATGGTAACTATACTTTACAACTCACCTTTTGATTATATTATCGATAATGCTGAAACTATATGAAGGTTAGTAATCAATGTTAGGTGTGTGCTGCGATGGAGTAGTAATTGAAGGAAATTAGGTTCTGATGTGGATTATAAGTAACTTTAAAATAGGTAAATCATGCAAGCACACACCTTTCACAATTCTTATCCTACTTACCATTTCCGTCCAGTAAAAATTAGCTGTCTCCAACCAACGTGATCCTTTCTGACTGCTTAATCTCTTATTTTCTTGTTCACGCTTTCTCGCTTTTTTTTTCTTCTTCCTATTGAACATCTGGCCGTGTTCCCATTTGTTCTCCGGCAGGTAATATTGGTACATGAGAGGAAGAAATAAATAGATCAAGTTAAATGTGAGCCGCATGCGTTGGTTAGTCGTTTAGGTCATGGTGTTGTGTTCCCTATTTTAATAACCTATATTTTGCTCTCAGAACGCATCACTTTTCCCCTTCCCCCAAACTATTATGGGTGAAAAAGAGAACCCATATTTGGTAACCTCTCGCAAGCGCAATTCAAAAGATATTAATAATAACAAACCAATCTAGAACTGGGCTCAAACATATAACATTTTCTAAGACTGATCATGATTAATATAGTATGAATAATGAGAATTGTATGAAGAAAAGACGATCCCAAAAGAAAGTTCCCTAGGAATAAAATTATTACTCTGTGCTAATCTGAGTTATTTTAAAAATGGGAATCCACAAACAAAATACTCAAAAACTATACCCGATCTCAACAAACTGTACCGAAATCAGAACAGCTAAACTATTCGGTAAGATTTTTGTATTTCTATTTAATTGTATTTAGCTTCTTTATATATATATTTATATATATCGAACCCCTTTTCAATAATTGCAACATGTGAATAATGCAGAACAAGTTTAAAATTGTTCTAGAGCCAAATTGGTTTTGAAAGGAAGGTCAAACTACAACCAAACAGCTCAGCCGCTCTGAACCCTTCAAGCATGAACATTATGCTTTCCCAAGCGGACTCTCTGTTAACCCAAAACGCTAAAACTGATTCAAAGATTATAATATAGATATAGTATAAAATAAAATATCCACCTGTACTGTATTGTCCATTCAGAAATCATTAGACTCTAACCCACTTACTTGTCCAGACTTCAGCATCAACTGATGGGCAGTGCACTCTACACTCCCTTTGTTTCACATTCATCTAAAATTTCATACTTTACCCATTGAGTGTTGATTAATCACAATACAAATTGTGACCGAACGCGGACTTGAGGTTACAAGACTATTGAATAATCTAAGTCCTTTTAAGGATTACATATAAAAAAATCCTATTTTGGCCAATGTCCACCGAAAATAAATAAAACTACTTTATGGGCGTAAGTTCCATTTTAGTGTAACATAGTTATGTTAGTTTTGACCCATAATCAGCTCTGCCGGCTCCAACATTAGTTGCAGACAGTGGTTGTTAGATCATGCGACACTGTAACTACTACTATGTTAGATGTATGATTCGTCAAGTTTATACAACTCAATGTTTCAATTGAGGTAAACTATTTATCTTATAATTACAAAATCAAACTTAAAGTAACAATTATATGCAAATGCAAAATAAAACTTGACATCTTCAATACCCTTATTCTTTGACAGGGCCGATGTGAATCTGATTTTGATCAGTGAACGAGCACCATATAGTAGATTCTCTCACTATAAACCTGTCATTTCTAGCCTATTTGAACTATTTAATAAATGGAAAGCATAACATGGGTTACGCTCCCCCTAAGCGGGCCCTTCGCATCCTATCTCTGTCTAATCTCAAATGCCAAATGCCAATGGTTGTATCAATATATAAATTGGAAATGACGTTCAATCAAATAAACCCATACCCCACTCACTTGGCCAGGCTCAGAATCGTCCAGTGGGCAGTGCGCTCTACACTCCAAGTTCACTTTCTTTCAAATTCACCCCAAATTTGATATTTTACCCCTTTGAGTGTTGATTAACCACAATGACACATTGAGCACGGACTTGAGGTTACTAGAGTATTAAATAATCTAGGTCCTATTTAGGATTATATCTGAAAAATCCAAATCTGGCCAACGCCCACCAAACAATTTCGCCCCTCGGTTTGTTCGCCATCAGTGAGGGCGAAACTGCATCCAGGTTTGAATTGTGGCCTAATTTTTGATGGTTTTCATGCGAATATTGCAGTATTTTTTTATGTATAACATCAGGCATAACAATGTGATAACGGCACAAAAGCATTTGTAAACAAACTTTCTAAGGCCCTTTACACGCGAACCAAAGTACGCCAAAGTACCAAAGTACAAGTACCACTGAACTAACTGTCAAAAAGGTTTAGCCGATTAACACGAGGTGACAATTGTCACCTCACCGGTGAGAGAGAGTCACGTGACTCGCAGAATAGGGAGGATTATCGAGAAAATCTACCCAAGAAAAAATCGACTAAGTCCACGTAAACAGTACCACTGAACTGATTGTGATTAACCCCGACGGTGCAAAACCTAATTAGGGGGAGAGAAACAGATAAATAAAAATAAAAGACAGTCTTGTGATTGACTTTAGTAGAGCAAGATCAATGAGGTTGTTCTTTACTTCAGAAATGCCAAAAGAAAGTTTCGAAATATCTGGAAAGATACGACAACAATCACCCACATTCTCGTTTTCGTTCGAACCGTATTTTCCATAAAAAAAAGTTTTTTTTTGTATGGAAAATACGGTTCGAACGAAAACAAGAATATGGGTGAATATACCATCCAAGGATGTAATTTTGTTCGCAATTTCTGTGTTAATCGTACAATGTAATATTCCACAACCAATGGATTGAACGGGTTGCATTTTTAAAAAGTTTCTACTTTTTGTGATCGTAGTTTATTAAGCCTAAGTACGATACCCTGCAGGTTGTACCTTTTATCAGGACAAAGAAATACATAAAAAGATAATAAACTTAGAAATACGGAACGTTAACGAGAATATGGGCGAATGTCTAATACAGTGGTTTCCATCCTAGTCAATTCCATGCACCCCTTACGAAAAACAAACTCGCTTCCACACATTAAGGATTTTATTAGGGGTGCATTCACCGCCGGTTGAAAACCATTGATCTATTCGTGTTTTGTCCATAGACAATTATTCATACTGACCTCCTTACGAACGCCACAAATTTTATAAGCATTGAAATGAAGTCATATTTATTTATAAAATATGGTTTTCAGCACGTATCCTAGAGAATGTTTGCTGGAGCAACCAAAGGAAATCATTTTTAACATTTATACTAAAGTTAACTAGTCCTGAAAATATTTGTAGGATATTTCGTTCAATAAGAATGAAAGTTGTAAAAAAAAAAGAAAAAAAAATCTCGAATTAGTTTCTCGTTTCTTTCGCCGTTCCAACTCAGTTAAAGGATATAAATTCCTTTTTTACACATTTAAATCTGTGGTCTTCCGTCCTTCCGTTCGGCAAGACCACGGCAAACTGCATCGAGTAGATGTGGATACTTGACCAGCTCGAGCTTCCACTGTTCGGTATCCATTGCCTCAGACGCGTTGTTCAGAATAAACTGCATTGCATGCGCTTTCAGTTGTGCAGCATCGTACGTATCTGCCAGGATTAGCATTCCTCCGGCTGACTCGATCGAAAGGTTGGCGCCAAGGGCCTGCTCACACATGGTTTTCAATTCGGATAGATCGTATTTATCGGACATCACCAGCAGGCGATTGGTTTGTTCTTGCAGTTTCGGCACTTTCCCGGTGTAGATGTATCGGAGCAACTCCTGTATTTCATCGTAAGAGAAATCTTCGATATCGACTCGACTTTCTAAGTTCTCCCTCATCGTGTTATTGAACATTGCATCAAAAACCGGACTGCGTGCAGCCAAGACAATTTTATGTGCTCTGATCTCTTTTTCCTCAACAATTATGGTAACATCGCTGAATCTTTCGCAGAAAAGCATCGTTTCAAAGTTCTGCGCAAAATTGCACGCTGGAACGTTGTACTGCTGCACAGGGTCTTTGCCACTAACGTTGACTCGCGATTGGAATTCCTTTAACTCGCAGATAAACGTCAACTTGCCATCATGCAGGTAGCGACTTCCTAACTCCGACAGCATGTTATGCCTGATAAAGTTATCCCAACCGGAGCTAGCATCCTTCTTACCGTCCTTTCCTCTGCGCAGCTTGAAATGGGTATTCTTCTGAGATCGATGGATATTGATGGCTTCACCGGCTTTGTCGCGAATAGCCAGCGAAAACTCTGCCAATGCCGGATCATTTCTCTCCGAAGTTACATGCAAATGCAATCCGACATAAATGGATCCAAAGTCGGCGCGTAGGTACCATTTGTATTGCCCTGCCCCCACGCCAGCATCATTTACTGGGAAGCATGACGAACGTATAGTTCCGCTTTTCTGCGCCAGATAAAATTGCGCATCTTCGATGGTCCAAGTAAAATTGAGAACGGCGAATTTCGGCCGTGTTGTACACCAGCTACGAGGAATTTCCGACTCGGCCATTTTTGATTAGCGAATCCTTGAAAAGCACGTCGTAGAAATAAAATTTCAATATTGCTACGGAAGGAATCAATTTCGGTTGACAACAAATTTACTTACCAGGCAGGGGATTGAACTGATTTGAATGCTATCTTAACGAGAGATTTTTAATCTCGATGTTGTGGCACGAACGCGAGAGACGCAGGATTAAACAAGAATAAACTTACTAATTTTCTGTCCTGAAATTAAATGAATAATATTGAAATTTTGTTGTTGATAAGATTGGGCGACACGGACATGTAACAGCGAATTTCACGAAACACACGCAATTTCAAAACTAACCAAATTTGGGTACAATCCACCGAGATCTGTAAAACTGAAGTTACCCAAAAATGGGGAACTATGTTAGGAGTGACAATTTGACAAATGAACAACGTCGATCGGATTCATGGCAACTTGTCACTCGAAACACAGTTTACCCATTTTTGGGTAGGTTCAGTTTTGACCGATCTGGGTGGATTGTACCCAAATTTGGGAAGTTTTGAAATACACACTATTTTTTTTATTGATGGAAACCAGCAAAAATTTTCTGGATTTTACCGAGCTGGATGACCAGCAATTTTGGTTGAAGTCAAAGTGACAACACCGACAAACCAATATCACATTTAATTCTGATTTATGCCCGAAAATCGTTAACGACCGATTTCAAGTGCAGTGATCCGAACTGTCAAAACCATAGGATTTTTTATCTAGATAAAAATAATTTGTCCAGAATAGATCAGACACAAACCAATTAATAACTTTTGCATGCGGGTTCATGGTTTAGCTAAATATTTACCGAGAACACGGAGCCAGATGTCAGTAGCGTGCTTTGGTCAGAAATTTTATTGTTTTGCTATGGTGATTCTTCTTTCCTTTATTTAACGTCGGTCTCTGTTCCACAATCTAGTGCCAATCACCGACGGACATCGATTGCCATCCATTGATGGCAACCGAATGTGCAGAAAGGCAGCTTCCACACCTGCGTAGTATACCGCACCCATTCAACAACACACATGGGCCGGGACCAACGACTTTACTTCCCATCCGAAGGAAGACGTGACCAGAGATTTTTATGCCTCATAAAAATCCCACCGACCTCGGCTGGGATTGAACCCAGACCTAGACCCAGACCCATTGGGGTGTTAGAAAGCAGTCACGCTTACCACTACACCACCGGCGCCGGCGCTATCGTCATTCATGTCGGTTTGTCGGTGGTGACCAGGGCTGGCAAATGTCATTTTGAATGAAAGATCTCACGTGATATTTACAGAGATACTTCTGTCACTATCATTGCATTGGAAAACGACGATAGAGATTTTCTTCAAAATCTCATCGAATTTTTTGTCATGACAGAACATGACAGTGTTGTGATTATCTTAATTACTAGCTCATTTTTCGCTATTGAAGTTAATTGTACCGAGGAAATCTTAATAATATATTCACTCTACCGATTACATACGGTTGCTTGCTTAAATTCATCTAAATCAGTTAGAAATGTTGATGTCCACACCGCATAAGAATTATTCTCATGAGTGATTGATCATTGAAAAATGACAAGAAAGCTAATGATAGGTAGTTTCATCTCGTGATAGTGAGAGGACCTGTTTTCTCATCGTCACATGACGACCGTGATATTTACCAGCACTGGTGGTGACAACACATTACTGAAAATTCAGCAATCTTTACTGAATGTACAGCAAAGTTGAGTAACAACCCATTTTTGCTGGAATTTCAGCTAGTTTAATGTACCTATTGTCTTTTCATATTAACAGCAAATAAATAGATTACAGAAGAGCAGTCGAGTATTAGTACAAGACACTGAAGAAGTCTGCACATTGTAGACGAAATACGCGTATCTGTCAAGGATAAGCAAATAAAGTAGTGGAATTAAATGGAAAATACTAATCCTTCTCTCTCTCATTATACCAATTAAATATATGTTTCACCGGCGCCGGCGGTGTAGTGGTAAGCGTGACTGCTTTCTCACCCCAATGGGTCTGGGTTCAATCCCAGCAGAGGTTGGTGGGATTTTTCTGAGGCATAAATATCTCTGGTCACGTCTTCCTTCGGAAGGGAAGTAAAGCCGTTGGTCCCGGCCCATGTGTGCTGAATGGGAGCGATATCCTACGCAGGTGTGGAAGCTGCCTTCCTGCACATTCGATTACTGTCAATAGATGGCAATCGTTGTTCGTCGGTGATTGGCACTAGATTGCGGAACAGAGACCGACGTTAAATAAAGAAAAGATATATATGTGTCAAAGCAATAAGTAAATTTCATGTGATTGTGGTAACTCTCCATCTTTATCCACTTGCGTCCGTTCGCAGCAAGAGTCATGTTTTTGGAGCCGAGTTATAAACGAAAGAGAGAGTCGATGAAGAGAATCGATCAATGTACACAGAAAAAAAAGTTGTTGAATATTACATCCAAACTGCTGCAACCAGGTCAATCCATCGGTTGTGTAATATAACGTTGTACGATGTACATCGATTTTGCGAACAAAATTACATCCATTGATGTAATATTGTATCTGCTTTTTGCTATTATGTACATAATTATTTCATACATCAGCTTGAATTACATTGATCGATATTACATTTTTTTTGCTGTGTAGATTGGTCTATTTGAATGGTGACGCGAGATTTTTGAAATGAATGTCTACACTCAAAGATAAATTAAATCAAAAAAAGCTTAAAAAGTATGCAGATTCTCGCTTCACCTTATTGAGTCCGAGCCATGATTACTTCGGCAGTAGTCATGCATGATTAAATTCGAAATAATCTTTCCAGTATTAATTTTATTCTTCTTTAATAATAATATATAAATCAAAAAACATTAAAATACAATCAAAAATTATTAAAATAGATAAAAAAATGATTTAAATTTATTCTAAAAAGAAAATTTTCAATCTAATCAATCATGATTAAACTGGGTTTAATATCAGATGATTATTTTTTAGAAAGACAGTAGTAATTTTTAATCATTCGATATGATCAAACTGAGCTTAATATCATGGGAGTAGTTCAATTTATCAGTGTACACTTTTACTGGAATGTACCCATTGTGTTGTGAAGAGGATAAACTTATTTTATTAGTAATAATGTCTTAACCAATTAATAGGTAAGGCGCATGTAGCACCGATGAACTTGTGCGTCAAATCATGGAGTACTTGTATCCCCTTTTTTAAATAATAAAATAAAATAAAATAAAATAAAATAAAATAAAATAACGCAATGTGGGCGGAAGCGGAACGGAAACGGAAAGTTTTACAGTTGTCACCAATGACGTCAATATACCTAACCGAAGTCGATTTTATTCTAACTAGGTTTCAATCCGACAAGTAGGCTTACTCAGATCGGGTTTTTCCCGAGAGGCACGCAATACAAACATCAGAAATGCAATCAGAAGTACTTAAAGTAATTAATGCGTTTTGAAGTAGTACTGATGGTGATTAAAATTATCTATCCGTAATTAATGTAATTAAAAGTATTGAAAATGTAATTAATGTACTTTAATTACGAAATTTCGACTGTAATTAATAAAAAGTAGTTAATGTTCTACATTGTGTAATTAGTGTATTTAAAACAGTAGTTAATGGAATTAATTTAATTACAGCCGTTGCCTGCGTTGGAGTTAAAGGTTATTGAGTGCCCCTAGGCTTTTCCGCTCCCGCTGCCGTTCCGCTTCCGCTGTCATTGCGCTTGGGCCTTAAATCACACCGTGACCACCCATAAATCAATATCATGAATTTAGATGTAATGTCTGCAGATTTCCATTTATTTTGCTATCTATTTTATTTCTTATATCCTGCATTCAAATGCTAAAA